CAGAATCAAGTTAACATAGTTAATAATATATATAATGCACAAAAAAAAAAATCAGAAATTATTAAAACCTAGACACAATAATATATCTTGATATCTTGAATATACCTCAAATACAAGCTTAGATTTGTGCTTTTGGTGTTTGAAATCTGACCACATCATGTTTAAATTCCCAGATCTGTTGATGTAGCAGACATGCATGTTACGATTACAAAGGTCTGTGGAAAACATAGATTAAATCAAACATACGATTAGTTTAAATGTAATAGAAGTGGTTTTGTAAGAAACAGATATAGAAATTCTTACCTATACATCCACACAAGAAGAAATACATGAAGCAATATGAAGAAATAAATGAATTTTCTCATATAGAACTTTAAAATCGAAAAAAAAAAAAAAAAAAAAAAAAAAAAGTGAAACCCATTTGCGATTATTCGAGGAGTCGCACAAATTACTCAGTGAAAAGCTATGGGTCTTGGAATAAAAATGAAAATCGATGCAATAGAGAAGCTAACTAATTTTTTGCAAAGCTTTAGATAGTAAATTTTCTCAGATTAATCGTAGGCAAAGAAGTGAAAGTAACGAAAAACTGAGAATTATTTTCGGACAAACTTGCGAATAGACTTGGTGATGGAGAAGCTGAGAGTGTTGTGTGGCGAAGGTTCCAGAGACATGTGTTGTCTCCAACAAACAACATATAGTCTTATATATATATATATATATATATATATATATATATATATATATATATATATATATTATGTATATATAATGATTTATGTGTCAAAAATTTTTTATTTTAATAATTTTATTAATTTTAATAATATATAAATATATATAATATAATGGTACTTTGTGTGTTAAAAACATCTTTAAAATTGAATTTATTAGAATCATTAATATTATTTACCATGAGTCCGTTACTAATTCAACCAGTAATATTATTTATCATGAAGTGTTTAATAACATGTAACACTTGGACATGTACACATTATACAATGTCAAATTTTTTTTTTTAAAAGAATAAATTGTTATTCATGCTTCTTTTTCGTAAAACTTTAAACATCATTATTATAGTTCGCAACTAATAAATAAAAATATTTGTTTATATATTATAACAATACAAATAAATCTTTAATATTTAGCCGTGCATCGCACGAGACAATACTAGTATACAAAAAAAGCTAGATGGATTTGGTCAAAAATTTTGGCTCCAATCCTTGCCCAACCAATGCAGCGTCGTTTTAGGGAGTTTATTTTTTGAAAACAGAGATAGTCTATTCAGTTTTGTGTCTTTAATATTTTAGAAATAAAAACATATAATCGCCGAATTAAAGAAAGATGTTACCCTTTTAGCTCAATTGTTGACGAGATTCGTGAGTTCCTAAGTCAGTTGCCTATGGCAACCTTTCGCTATGTCCGTCGCCAACATGTTATGGTGTCTCATTATTTAGCTAAGAGAGCTCTAAATTGTGTAGGGGGGATAGAGTGGAGTATTTTGATTGTATTTCTCGTTTTGTATTTGTTCCCCTATGTAACAATTCAGGTAATTATTAATACAAGTGGTTTTCATTGGTTTTCAAAAAAAAAAAAAAAAAAAAAAAAAAAAGAAAGATGTTACCCATATGCGAACCCAAGTGAAACAGAATTGCACAATTGTATCTTTAAAAATACAGTAATGGAGTTCAAAAACAGAGTAATAGAGTAAGAAATCAGCGATGACTCGGCGAATAGCACATCTCCGACCCAAACTATATATATATATATATATATATATATATATATATATATATATATATATATATATATATAAAAGAGCGCTCGTATGTGGTCATGTCATTAGGTGTGGCGGTGTGGTCGTATTTGTATCGTTGAATCAGTTTAATCTAACGCAGTGGTAATTTTGAGGATTTTCGCGCGTTTTGGTAAGTGGGGGTGTTATGGTAATTACAGTGGCCATTTATAGCGTGCGGGTTCCAAAATACACCAACACTGTTGACAACATGCACCAATAGTGTAATAAAACACACCACAGTGAAACACACCAATGGTATATTCTCATGTTATGGTAATTACAGTGGCCATTTATAGCGGGCGGGTTCCAGAATACACCAACAGTGTTGAGTGTAATAAAACACACAACAATGTGATTTTCCCTATTCCGATACTTTATGACGAGTTTACCCTTGCAGTTCGCTGTGTAGGAGAATGTGCGCGAAAATACTGGAAAAATCTTGATTAATATGATTCATTGGATCTATCTAATCTAATGGCATGTAATTAACCATATGACCACACCTAACAACATGGTCACATGTGATCGCCCCTATATATATATATATATATATATATATATATATATATATATATAATAAAGCCATATGGTCTTGTGAAAATTAAATGGTAATAATCAACATTTAATTTTCACAAGACCATAATAATATTGTTAATTATAATAACAATAACAATAATAATAATAATAATAATAATAATAATAATAATAATAATAATAATAATAATAATTGCAATAATAATAATGATAATAATTTCCACTCACAGATTCTAATATATATATATATATATATTTATTTATTATATTTATTTATATTTCAATTTCTACTGGCAAATTATTGTGTGAACGATGATCCACATAATTGTATGGATCATGATATCAAATACATTTTTAATATATTAAAAATAGATTATTTTTATATTGAAAGTACCTTACATACATATATAATGTACCCTCAGTATATTTAAAATATACTTTTCATTGCATGCAACCCCAATGTTCATAAGTTTGAAATTAATATATGGCAATAGCTAGGCGGCCTAATATTTAAGATTGTTGATGTGCATATTGAGGACTACGGAGACAAAGATGCGTTATTCGTATATTCATCGGATACTATCCAACAACACTCTCCAACTTAATTGACATGAAGTAGGCTTAGTAACATTAAGATTATATTCTCGAATTATTAGTTCTCATCTTTTATTGATTACACACTTAATTCGATAGTATTTGGAAGAAAAAATCAATATTTGAACTAAGATTGTGATTTTGGTCTTTAAAGGTCAATTGTATGTTGCTACATCTAGAGTTAGAAATCTCAAATGACTAAAAATTTTGATCCGTGGTGACTTTAAAATTATAATTCAATTATTATTGTAGTTTACTAAGTTCTTAAAAATTTGTAATATTAAATACTATGTACTAAAATTTTTAATATAGTTTAAGATTTATAGTAATCACCCACCATAAATATTATTTTAATTGTAAATATATTTATGTTCATAATTTTATTATAGGAATTCATACATAATAATTATTAAATAATAAAAATTTTATATATGAATAAACCTCATATAGGGTATATTTTTATAACATATTTTCCGTGCATCGCACGGGACAAATACTAGTGTGTGTGTGTGTCTATATATATATATATATATATATATATATATATATATATATATATATATATATATATATATATATACACTAGTATTTTTTATGCACGATGCGCAAAAAATAGGTGCCCAATATTAATACATTACATTAAAATTTTAAATTTATTTAAATTTTAGATATTTAAATTATTCTAAATAGTAATAATGATAATGTAAATCATTTTTATAAATTTGATATTTATATTTATGTAATAGTTAACATATAACTCAAATAATTAATGTGTATATATTATTATTAATGAAGAAGATAAGAAAATATATGGTGGATGCATATGCATGGTAACAATAGTGGAAAAGATAACGGAAATTATAACGGTAGGGGTATGTTTGTCAAAAATATTTTAATGTACAACCTATATAGCCTAATGTACAAAAAAAAAAAAAAAAAAAAAAAAAAAAAAAACCTTAACGGAAAAAACGGACATAAATCAAGGGTATAACTTTCATTCACACTTATTATGTTTTTATATATATATATATATATAGAGAGAGAGAAAATTTCAATTTTGGTCATATGACTATATGAGCTTTGTTAATTTTAACACTTGACTTTCAAAAGTGTCAATTTAGTACTTTGACTATGCAATTTTTATCAATTTTGATCACTCCGGTCAAATTACGGGCCAAATTTCACCCAAAAATTTTAACAGTTAAAATAATGTGGATATTTTAGTCCTTTCACATATCTTCCTTCTTCCCCATTTTTCCGGCGACGTGGCCGTTCCCAAGTATGACCTCCGGCGCCACGTACTCTTCGGTCCCGACGAAGGAATTCGACTTCTCGATGGAGTCGAATCTTGACGAGGAAGTCGCCGAGCTTAAGCCAAGTTCATACGGATGTACTGAGTCCTTCTCCGGCGAGATTCCTGACCTGCATAGCATGTACCAGGAAGGAAGCTTCTTCCGTGTCTTCTCTACCCGTGGCGGCTCAGATCAGATTTCGGAGGTGACTTAACAACAATAATTAGAGGAGTTTCAGAAGATTTTGGAGATAGTTTTGTGGAGAGATCGAAATCGATCAGCATTATATGACCATTCTCCTGAATCATCACATTTTCTGGTTTCAAATCTCTGTACACAATTCCTAATCCGTGAAGATACTCCAATGTCAGTATTAACTCTGTTGCATAGAATCTGAAAATTCAAATTCAAATTGTATTAGGGTAAAGCTTTCATACCCAGAGAGAACCATCTTTCTCCATTGAAAGCTTAAGGACTTTTGTTAAATCAACTCCCAACGGCAGGGGAGGGTTTGATTGATTTTGTTGAATCGATTTTCTGTTGAATTCCTCAACAGGCGACTTTCTCCGGCGGATTTGCAGGGAAAAAGAAAAGAGATCCAAAAGACTAAAATATCCCTATTATTTTAATTATTAAAATTTTTCGGCGAAATTTGGCTGGCAATTTGACCGGAGTGACAAAATTTGATAAAAATTACATAGTCAAGGTACTAAATTGACACTTTTAAAAGTCAGATGCTGAAATTAACAAAGCCTCTATAGTCATATGACCAAAATTGAAATTTTCTCTCTCTCTCTCTCTCTCTCTCTCTCTCTCTCTCTATATATATATATATATATATATATATATATATATATATGTATGTATGTATGTATGTATGTATGTATGTATGTATGTATGTATGTATGTATGTATGTATGTATGTATAGTGAATGGTTCCAGTGCGGTTGGGTGCTTCCCGTGCGGTTGATTAATGTGCGTGAGCTTTGTACTTAATGTGCGTGAGTCTTGTGGTTAATGTGCCTAAGCTTTGTACTTAATGTGCGTGAGTGTGTAATGTTAATGTGCGTGAGTTTTGTACTTAATGTACTTGAGTCTTGTGTTTAATGTGTTTGAGATTTGTACTTAATGTGCGTGAGTATGTAATATTAATGTGCTTTTGTCATTGAACAAACAGAGACACCTGAATAACTTGAGCTTCGTAGTAGGGAAAAGGGCTCTAAAGATAAGGTTGGTTCTGGTGAAGCATTGCTATATTAAATATTAAATTACTTTGGAATTAAATTTGATGGTTGACATAGTCATCAATCTTCATTAGGTCATGAAACGTGAGATATGTGGATGCGCATAATTCTTCACAGCAGTGGATGAAGAACACACTCATGCACATTAAGCACACAACTCATGCACCTTAGGCACAAAACTCACACACCTTAAGTATAAAATTCATGCACATTAACATTACACACACGCACATTAAGTACAAATCTCAGACACATTAAGCACAATACTCACGCACATTGAGTGCAAACCTCACACACCTTAATCAACCACACAACCACACGGGAAGCCACAAATGCACATGATCCCTTCCCTATATATATATATATATATATATATATATATATATATATATATATATATATATATATAATATTTAATATATAAAGAACATGTAACTATAAAATAATTATTATTATATGTGAAGTATATCATTATTAACGTGTAAATTAATTATTAATGGTTGAACATAATTTTAGAAAAGTACACTAATTATCTACATGCAAGCTAAAAGCTTATTCATGTGTTGGTAAGTTTAACAGAAGTAGAGGAAAAATAAATGCCAGCTAATCTGTTGAGAGCAATTACTAGAACATTCTATTCATATAAGCATTGTATTCTGTTTTGTTTCTGCACCAAAAAATAAACCACTCAGAAATAAACTCTCTCTTTCCTCCCTTTGCTCTGCTTGATAATCTGCTGTCATGAACATGCGTATTTTGTAAGATGGTATCAGAAGACCGTAGACCACCAAGCTACGCCGCTGTCGTCACGGTAGTCAGAACTTCAGCTAGAACTTCAAAAACAGCCAGAACCTCCGCCGGAACTTCAAACATAGCAGGAGTAGCACCGATTGAGGATCCGAGCAGTCTTTTTTATCTTCATAGCAATGAAAATCCTAGTCTCGTCCTCGTCAATCCACCACTCACTGAATCAAATTACCACACATGGTCCAGAGCTATGGAAATAGCTCTGAGTTCCAAAAACAAGTTGAAGTTCGTTGAAGGCAAAGTTTCTATTCCTAATGAGTTTGATCCACTATATAAGGCTTGGCAAAGGTGTAATAATATGATTTGTTGGTGGATAGTTCGATCGGTTTCGCCCGCCATTGCTCAAAGTATTTTGTGGATTAAATCTGCTCCTGAGATGTGGAATGAATTGAAGGATCGATTCTCAGAAGAAGATGCCTTTAGACTTTCGGATTTGCAGGATGAGATCAGTACTATAAAGCAAGGTTCACAAACTGTTACTCAATACTACACGCAACTCAAAATCCTTTGGGATGAAATGCAGAAAATCGGGCCTTTACCGTTGTGTATGTGTAGTCCTAAGTGTTCATGTGGAGCATTAGCTAAGATGCTGCAATTTCATAAGAATGACAAAGTATTGAGATTCCTAAAAGGCTTGAATGATGATATCAGTATTGAGATTCCTAAAAGGCTACTCAGGTATCAAATCACATATTCTCTTAATTGAGTCACTGCCTTCCTATGGAATGATTATCAAGCAGGAGAGGAAATTGTTGTCTAAGCAGGTTGATAAGTGCTCCATCTCAACTAAAAGCGAACCGTAGTCGCTTATGGGTAGCGAGCGATGAGATTCGAACTCATGACCGTTAGTCTGGCTCTGATACCAAATTGAAGTATGTGTTCCATCTCAACTAAAAGCCTAAGCTGATAGTTGGATTGCACATTAATGGTTATATGCTCACAAAAGTAATAGAAAGTCTCAAAGTACATACTGTGGAAAATCTGGACACACTATTGATAGATGCTATGAGAAACATGGTTATCCACCAGGTTATAAGGCAAGAGGCAAGCAGTTTCAATAGGTTTCAGGACAAAATCAAGGCCAAAGTTCTAAAAATTCTTATCAGGGAGAGGTTAATAAATTTGGCATCACCACTGATCAGTTGAAGAATTTGATGACTTATCTTCAAAGTCAAACCATGGTAAATGCCACTCAATCCAATGGTTCAATATCTGACCAAGAAAGTTCCACTGCAGCTACTGTCACGGCTTACACTCCTAGCAACCTCTCCACACAATCTGGCTTACAATCAAAGTTTTTACCTCTGCAGAATATTACAGATGAAGGCAAGTTTGTTTCTGTTGTTTCTATTAATGGAGTTGTGAATAATTCTTTGTCTTTCACTTGGATAATTGACACCCGGAGCCACCGATCATATTGTTAGTAGTCTCAATTATTATGATTCTTACAGGCCAGTTAATGATGCTACTGTTAAATTGCCAAATGGAAGTATTTGGTTGTTGACCACATTGGTGACATAAAACTTTCTGCCTCTATTCTGCTTAAGGATGTCTTGCATGTTTCATATTTTGGCATCAATCTTATCTCAGCAAGTAAGCTAACAAAAGATTCAAGTTGTTGCTTAATTGTTCTAGATGATTCTTGTTTTATCCAGGAGAAGAATGGATGCAAAATGATTGGCATAGCTAAGGAGTCAAATGGCCTTTACTATATTCAAAGTCCACAAAGTCCACCTTTGCTAAAGACTGGTGTTCCTGGTTTGGAAAATAATATGTTTTCTTCTACATGCAATTTTGCATATTCTCAATTGTGGCATTATAGATTAGGACATCTTCCTGTGAATAAGTTGCAGCATATTGACTGCATTAGCATTGATTTGCCTGGCAATAAAAGTTTTGTTTGTGATACTTGTCATTATGCTAAGCAAAATAGGAATTCATTTCCCATAAGTACTACATCTTCATCATGTTGTTTTGAAATTGTTCACACTGATATTTGGGGCCCCTTTTCTACTGCATCTTTAAGCGGGGATTATTATTTTCTTACAATAGTTGATGATTATAGTAGATACACATGGTTGCATCTAATGTCTCATAAATCACATGCCAGGAAGCTCCTACAAGATTTCTGTGCTTATGTCCAAACACAATTCAATGTTTGTATTAAACCCATTAGAAGTGATAATAGTCCAGAGTTTCATATGCCAGATTTTTACAGCTGTAAAGGAATTCTACATCAAAAGTCATGTGTTGATACACCTCAACAAAATGGTTTGGTTGAGAGGAAACACCAACACATTCTAAATGTGGCTAGGGCAGTAAAATTACATGCTCACTTGCCTATGAAATTTTGGGAAGAATGTGTAAAACACAGTGTCTATCTTATCAACAGAGTTCCATCTCCTCTCATTGGCAATAATAATCTTTTTCAGTTACTGCATGGTACTACACCTGAGTATGCTAATTTGAAAGTTTTTGGATGTTTGTGCTTTGTATCCACATCAGCTCATAACAGAAATAAAATGGCCTCTAGAGCTAGGACGTGTGTTTTTATTGGAATGTCCACAGGAGTCAAAGGCTACAGATTATTTGACATCAATACTGGTCAAGTTTTCATTTCCAGGGATGTAAAGTTTTATGAGTTTGTCTTCCCTTTTTTCGACAGAGCATACTACTAATCCACCAGGACCAGTTTTACCTCTTGTAGACAGTTTTACCTCTTGTAGATACTGCAGATGATTTCCCATTTCCTAATAATCACATTGAAGTTGTTGAGGCAAAAACAGATCCTGTTATCACATCTATTTCCCCTGGATCTCAAGTTGATCAAAATCAAGGTCTCAGAAGGTCTTCCCGACACAGACAATTACCAACCAAGCTGCATGATTATCAATGTGATGTTGGCACAGTTATAAGAACTTCCCCTCATTCTTTAAATAATGTTCTTTATTATCAAAGCTTATCCTCAACACATAAGGCATTTTCTGTGGCTATTTCTTCTACTTCTGAGCCTAGGACCTATAATCAGGCTTTTAAAGAACGTTGTTGGAGAGAAGCTATGCAGGTTGAAATTCAAGCACTAGAGTCTAATCACACTTGGGTTCTAGCTGAGTTGTCACCCGGGAAGGTTCCCACTGGTTGTAAATGGGTGTATCAAATTAAGTACAAACCTGATGGCAGCATAGAAAGATATAAAGCAAGACTCATGGCAAAAGGGTATACACAACAATTTGGAATTGACTATCTTGATACATTTTCTCCTGTTGCTAGAATGACAACCATTAGGACATTGCTAGCTATTTCAGTTGTCCAAGGGTGGCATCTTCATCAAATTTACATAAATAATGCCTTCCTTCATCGGGATTTGGAAGAAGAGGTGTACATGGTTCTGCCATCCGGTTTTGAACCGAGTAAATCCAATCAAGTTTGCAAGCTCGTGAGATCACTTTATGGTCTCAAACAAGCAAGTAGGCAGTGGCATGCTAAACTCACAACTGCCTTGTTGTCTAATCGTCTTAATCAAGCAGCTGCTGATCCATCATTATTCACCAAATCAGAAGATGGTCCATTTATTGCCTTCTTGATATATGTAGATGATATAATTTTGGCAAGTAACAGCATGGACCTAATTGATGCTTTGAAGAAGTTTTTGGATACTACTTTCAAAATTAAGGACCTTGGTATCCTTAAGTATTTCCTTGGTATTGAGTTAGCTCGGTCCTCAAAGGGATTGCATCTTTGTCAAAGGAAATATATACTTGGCATCCTAGATGAAACAGGTTTCTTAGATTGTAAACCTGCTCCTAGTCCTATGGTTCCCGATTTGAAGTTAACTCATAATGACAGTTCTCCCTTATCAGATGTTAGCTCCTACAGAAGATTGGTAGGGAGATTGCTTTATCTCACTGCTACTAGGCCAGACATTGCTTTTGTCGTCCAACAGTTGAGCCAGTTTATTGATAAACCTACTGAGCAACACCTTGTTGCAGCTCACAGAGTGCTTAGGTTTCTCAAGTCATCCCCGGGAAAAGGACTTTTCTTTCCAGCCACATCCGCTCTCCATGTTCAAGCTTTTGCTGATGCAGACTGGGCAGCTTGTCCAGATACTAGAAAGTCAGTGTCTGGTTTTTGTGTTTTTTTGGGAAATTCGCTTATTTCTTGGAGATCCAAGAAGCAACCCACAGTTGCAAGGTCAAGTTCCGAAGCAGAATATAGGGCTCTTGCTGTGAATTGCAGTGGCTACAATACCTACTGTCAGATTTGCAGGTTACCTCTTCTAAGCTTATCACTTTGTTTTGTGATAGCAAATCAGCAATTGCTATATCTAAGAACCATGTTTTCCACAAGAGGACTAAACATATTGAGATTGACTGTCATCTCGTTAGGGAAAAGGTTCAGAAAAGTTTACTCAAACTCATGTATGTTCCCACTGCCAATCAACTTGCTGATGGCTTCACCAAACCACTGCAAGTATCTGCTTTCCGGTTATTTCATTCTAAGCTTGGGCTTGCTGATATCTACGCTCCAGCTTATGGGGGTAACAAAAGTAGAGGAAAAATAAATGCCAGCTAATCTGTTGAGAGCAGTTACTAGAACATTCTATCCATATAAGCATTGTATTCTGTTTTGTTTCTGCACCAGAAAATAAACCACTCAGAAATAAACTCTCTTTCCTCCCTTTGCTTTGCTTGCTAATCTGCTGTCATGAACATGCGTATTTTTAAGCAGGGTTCTGTAAAAATTTTTAATGTGATGGCTAATAGCTGTTTTTTTTAACACATTCAGCTCTAGCAGGATTCTTCTTCCATTTCCGCACCGGCTTAGCTCAATGGTTCACTAGACAGTAGTTGAGAGAAGAGACCAATGTTCGAATCTCGATGGCAACAGTGTGGGGATTATGTCCAAAGTGAGCAGATCCCTTGTGCGCACCAACATTTGGCCCTATCTGCTGAATCATTGAGTCAGTGTAATTTACATCCTCTCAAATGCTCTATCAGGCCGGGATGTGGGGGCCATTGGGTTGAAGATTCAACCTTTTGGGAGAAGGATTCTTCTTCCATTAATAATATTTTTATCACTTGAAAATTAATAAATGTATGTGTAACTAAGTTCCAAGAAACACAGAAATATATAGATGTAATTAATGGCTCTAATTTGGGCCAAATTAAGAATCAATAATCTTATTAAGTAAGCTGAACACACGCAACGTTTACAAAAAATTGAAATTATTTATTATTGGATTTCAAATGCGACCTCTAGCTAACAGCTTTTGTTTCTTTTTTTTTTTTTTTTTGGAGATCTAACAGCTTTTGTTTCTAGTCATCTTCTGCATACTATAAATTTCTTAATCAAATATTTTGCCTTTTATTCTCTTCTCATCTCTATTTGGCTTGGCATGGCCCAGGAATATACCACTCAACAAACAAAGTGCATAATGAATTATGGGACCACAATACCACATTACGTACGTAGGTAATTTCTTAATTTATTTAATTATTCGTTTATCTATGTAATCACTAATAGCACATTTGATTCACGAAATAGGTCTGGAATGACATAACATCCCCAGTAAAATGCATATTTCTTTGTTTAGTAAAAATTTTTATTCTCAGGGACATTGTTCCTGGGAATGGCCTATTCCCCTACAGGGGAATAGCTATTACTAGGCCCCCTGGTATTAACCTATTCCTGAGTTCTCAGAAATAGATTTTATATTTTATTTCTTATTTTACCCTTTTTCTCTTTGCCGCTGTCTTTACATCTCTTTTGACCTTCCGGAGGAGGCCAATCATCTACCGCAACCACACCCAGGCCCACACCACCCTCCCCTTCGTTTCCAAAGACGACTCTCACGGGTTGTCGCCATCGTCCCTATCATTGTCGCTACCCTCTGTTCGTCAGGACTCCGTCAACTGCGCAACAGAGTCCAAAAACTCCAGGACTCTCCGATCGACAATCTGATCAGCGAGTACCGGTCTCGACACTTCCCCAACACCATCAATGGCCTCCCATCGCCCATGCAAAGGCTCAACCAAGGTTATGGGGAATCGACCACCTGATTTTGTAGACGCGATTATACAGACCGTTCGAAGTCATCTGGGAAGGCTTCGTCGCAAGGCTTATCAATTCTCCCAGGAGGCCATTGGATGCATGTGGTTGTTATTGACATTGAATTGAATAATATTATTTATAACTCTTATATGTAATAATAATAATAATAATAATAATAATAATAATAATAATAATAATAATAATAATAATAATAATAATAATAATAATATTATTATTATTATTATTATTATTATTATTATTATTATTATAATATATTTTGTATAAGGGTAGTTATATATGTCTTTTATACATATATATTAAATTTCTATTCCTTAAATCAACCAAACACTGGAATAACATTCCTAAAGTCTATTCCTTCATCGAACCAACTAATAAAATACAATTTCTATTTTATTCTTTACATATTCCATTCCCTATGGAATAGTATTCGTATTCCCTCAAAATTCATTCCATGAACCAAACGTGCTGTAAAAGAGTTAATTTCAGGAATGGTTCATTGACTATTGTTATTTATGAATTTTTTTTTTTTTGACTTTCGATTGAACCATAAATGGTTCCTTGACTATTGATCTTTGTCAATTTTCGTCATTGATTTTCAATTTAACTATAAGTGGTCCTTTGACTATTGATTTTTTCTAAATTTGGTCCTCTAGTTAAATATCATTTTAATAAACATTAAATTTAAAGGTAATAATGTAAAAAATTTAGTTCTTCCCAATGATGAACTCAATGTATTAAATTTATGAACTCAATTTGTCCACCTCAACAACAAGCTAATTTTTACATAGAGTTAATTTTAAGAATGGTCCTTCAACTATTGACTTTTACCAATATTTGTCTTCGACTTTTAATTTAATTAAAATTAGTCCATGACTATTGATTTTGTTCCAATTTTGATCCTTCTATTAATTCAATCTCAGTTAGTTACGTTGGGGGTTAAATATGAAGACAAGAATGTAAAATCAAATCTTTTACCCTTTTCTTCTCCATTTCTTCTCCTCGCCATAGGCCCAAAACAATTTCTAACCACTTTGAACTTATAATTAGTTGCGAAAGAATACTGTGAGCAATTGGGTCTTGATGCATGCATAAAGTTGTGGGAAAAAGACTGAAATATGAACATTAGTCTTTTTATTTCCCAAAATATGACGGTGCTTTGTGGGGGACAATTTTGTGAAAAAAACGTTTGGGACATGTCCCACACATTTAATTATTATTTTTTTTAACTCTTCCTCAGACGCAAGTCTTATTCGCGGCAGAAGTATTTATACGTCAACGACATTTACGAAATGCGGCTGACGTATTCTTCCAGAGATGCGTTTGGTGTATTATACGTCAAACGCATCTCGTACATGCGTTTTAGTTACCATTTCCTCGCCGGAGACCGGCGGGGGTAAACGCATGTGGAAGATGCGTTTCATCTGAGGGCATACATCTTGTAGCAACCCAATCACCATTAGACGGAGTTGATCGAATGCATGGCTGTGGCGATGATCCGGGGAGGTCGAGGAAAATAACAAGAGGTGAAGATTAGTCGTTGACGATCGTGACGCCACTCGGGAATTATTGAGAAGCTAAAACAACTTGGTCGGGAACTGAGATCACGTCATCTATGGTCGAGAATTGCCTTGGTGCTCGGTTGTGACACATTCAGCCATGCATTCCATCAACTCCGTCTAACTGCTCCAGTCCTCGCTATGCTCGTGCATCCATAGAGAACTGAACGGTCGACGGAAGGCTCCATTAAAGTTTATGCACCTTACATATTGAAAGTTTATACATCTGGTTATAACTAATACAACTGCAATTTAGGAATGAAATCCGTGAACTTCCTAGATAGCTTGAAAGTTTTTGGAAATCTGCTCTCAGCCTCGGGTATAACTCTCAAGGCTGTGTGGAACTTGGTATGATGCTCTATGCTCGGGGAAGTTAGACCACGACGCTGTGACTAGGGAGCTCCGATCATGATCCGATCCCGTTGACTGGTGGATCGGTCGGGAGGCTTTAACTACCCCAGATATCATGGACTCACGGAGGGATAGTCGTGGATGGTGAAGACGTATGCCCTCTAATGGTGATTGGGTTGCTACAAGACGTATGTCCTCAGATGAAACGCATCTTCCACACGCGTTTACCCCGCCGGCGAGGAAACGGTAACTAAAACGCATTTACTAGATGCGTTTGACGTATAATACGCCAAACGCATCT